ATGCGCCCACGCCCATGGTCAGGCAAAGTTTCTTGTAAACTGGCCCACGCTATTGTTCGTTTAAAATCATGATACTGTTGTAAGTACATGTTGTACTTGCAGCTAATCAGTCTTTGTATGGTGTCTCTCAAGGATCTACGAATGCAATCAGAACTGTGCTTGTGCGAGTCAATGTTTTAACCGAGTGGTACAGAATGGTATACAGCTGCGATTGCAAGTATTTAAAACGGAAAACAGGTACATCATTGTTGGTTTGTGAAGTCAGATTTTATCAACTATCTGATAGATCCCTTGAAATGACTAAACTCTCTTTTCAAATCCTTTGGAACTCGAACGGCTGATGTTTTTTCTTGCTGTTAAGTCTTTAACACCCTAACATCAGTATGTATATTCTCCGCACTGTCCTCCACACATTCTTTAAATTGCTGACGATGAGAATTTGCTTTACAAAAGCCTCTTTAATCGGTGATCATTTCCTTCGTTCTCGTGATCCTAATGAACCACTCAACTGCTATATTGTAAGTAGAAATTAAATGATGGTCACTGCAAAAGTTCAAAGGGTCAGTAGTATCATGAAACGAATGAATGTGTTCAAATCAGCGTAATAAACTGATACTCAGTAATGCTGATTGCATGTTTATATTTTGCTGCGTGTTACGTTTTCAGAGGATGGGGACTCAGAACTTTGGATGACATTCCCTCGGGTACTTTTGTCTGTACATATGCCGGACAGATTCTCAACGAAGACATGGCTAATAAGGTTTGACTAAGGCAAATTTGTCAATCTCATTGAAGGGGGTTGTTTTTATTTATCATATTAAAATACAGTGATGATAACGTGTTACCGTATGTCTCACGATGTAGTCACGTCCGCCGGAAGTGAAACGTCGCGATTCACATCGGAGGTGGTGATGACGTTTTGATTACCAGTCTTCTGGGGACGGGGTCAGCTGATAGAGGCGTAGCGCATCATTATGTTATCCTAAGGAGTCAAAATCATCGCCTGAAGAAGATTAGCACTATGCGGTCGAAAAGTCGCGATCCACTTTGGAATAAACTACATTGTGAAACAAACATTTCACAATTACTGCCTTTGTCAATTTGTTCTTGGCAATTATACGTTACCAGTTGTTTTCTAATGAAAAAAAAAGAAAGTTCTTCAAACGTACAACCCGCGATTTTTTTCCTAAAATGTGTAACATTTCGGTCTTTGTTCTCTTTCGTAGGAGGGAAGAGATTTTGGAGATGAGTATCTAGCTGAGTTAGATCACATTGGTGAGCACGCTTGTATTTTGGTTCAAATTGAGTTCAGATTTGAAAATGTGGTTTATTCAACTATTTGTTTTAAGTTTCATAGCCTCAGAGGAACGACTTTAGAGTTTGTGCATCATCATGTTCATCGTTCTTAATCCACTGAGATCTTCTCTATCCCTCGCCATTATTGTTTGATCTTGTTTTTTATTTGTGTTTGCCTCTTCATGTTTCCCTTTCCTAGCAAAATAAAATCAAGGCATAGTTTTACATTAAGATAGCTGCCTGTATATTTTTCTCTCGTGTTTTAGTAAGCCTTCTTAGTCTGGTAAACAGGTTTGAAGAAAAGAAGGATTTACACTCAAAACAGTCAATCAAGGCACGAAATTGTTGAAAAGCTAACTTAACGCTGTTTACTGTGCACTCTTATTACAGAGGTAGTTGAGAAAGCAAAGGAAGGCTACGAGTCTAACGTATCAGACCTAGAGGATGACAGTGTGATTTACCAGACGCTTTGTGCAGACAGCAGTTCTTCAGGGAGTGATTCAGCAAATAGTGGTGAAAGGTAACCCTGCAGTCGAGCGTCGAGCGTAATCCGGATTGCTTTGATTTATACTGGACTTTCTTCTGTAATTGGTTTAGAAAACTCGCGCCTTTCTCTCAACCGATCAGGTGCAAAACTCAAAGCAATCGCGACTTGGTTATTCTCGTTTCCCGCGCGTCAAGCAGCTTTGTTGTTTTACTTTGAGTTCTCATGGGCTAATGATAATCTAAACCTTTGTTCGGATTGGTCGCTTGGATTTCCTTGGTTTTGGTTATTTCGACATTTAATTGAAAACTGCTCCAGAACCAAATTTTCTCAGTTAGCCTTTCTTCGCGCAGTGATTAAAGTAAAAACCCAATTCAGCTTATCAAATGGCAGTGCAAATCAGCTTGGTTCGGTCAAACGCGCTGTCCCCACCTAACCCACTCCCCCTCGACGGTGGTCACGTATGTATGCTGTAAGTTTTGATTGGTTCATCTTCATCAAGTGTGTATGCTGCGAATTTAAAATGAAAAAGTGATGATCACTCTACTTAGTTATCTATTTATTTATCTATCGAGCTATTTGTTGATTTTTCTTTATCGTAGTTCGTTATCCGGAGATGAGTCTTCTGAGGTGGATTCTCTGATAAGTGAAGAAAGTTACAGCTCCGAACGAAACTCGAGACTTGGTGACGGTGAAAACATTCCCCATAAACCATCCAGAAGAAAAAAAAGGAAGGTACTGAGCGGACAATTTTATGCCCCCTTTAAATCTAAGAAAATTGTTGTAAAATAAAAGTTGTTTTTCGAAAGATGTTTACAGCGCGATTTAAAGCTTTATTCATCTGAACCGTTCTGTTTGCCTGTCATACTGTTTTTGAAACACTTAATTTCTGATTGACTAATGTTCCTTTCAGAAAAATTTTTCATGCAAGCAGAATTGCGCAATGGTAACATTAGACCTTTACAATTTTAGTGTCAGACAAATATATTTAATGTCAAATGTGTGCCAGGCAGTGAGAAGAATTAAATTCCCAGTAATTTAAGGGAGCCTTGTTTCAAGTCAACACACATGAGTATCAGTTTGACGAAATGTTGAAACCGGTTCAATCGTACAAGTACACGCTGGTTTTGTATGAAAATCTGCTTTTTTCTCTCTCATTTTTCACAGAGATCAGATAGGAAAGGTGAAAAGAGGAAACGGTAACAACAGTTCCTTAAGTTTCTCAGTTTGCTGTTTGTGTGGTTTTCTTTCTTTTGTATGAGGTCTGTCCAAAAGAAATTTTACAGTGTTATCGGCTAACATCTGCGCCATATCTGCTATTTGATATGAAACGCCTTCTGTCCTTCGCCAATACCCCTCACCCCCTACCCCCCCCTTCTTGAGGAAAATTCAGTTTTATCTTGACCCTCCTCTACTTCGAAGATACAAACTATTCTAATAATTGTTTTAGCTTTATACGACTACATGATGTGACACCATTGCTATAGCTACTAGTTATTGTGGCCTTTGATACACGAGCTTCGTTATCGCTCTCGATTTTATGAAATAGTGATAATTGTGAAACGCCACTATTCCATTTTAATGTGTTTGTTGTTAGTTTTTTTTTTTTTGCACAGAAATTGTGATAATTTTTACATTGAATCATGATCATTTCACATTTTACGTCTATTTCAGCAGTCTACAAGGAGAAGAATCGTTAATGGTCGAATCAAAAGCCGTAGGGTTGTCGAACCTTGCTGACGAAAAATGGTAAAATTTTAAACTTACAATACACTTACAAATCCACTTACAATAAAGAGTTAAAACTCTTTATTGTAAGTGGATTTGACATTTTTCTCTGAGGAACAACTCCGGTCACATTTGAAGACATATCTTTTTTCATCTTAGTTATGTGGTGTGGCCCTTCTTAGCGGTTTCCGCTCATGGCGCCGAATAAACTTTATCTTGCGTGCGTATGCCACGAAAAATGCGGAGACGCCCTAACTGTACTGGCCCTAAGACCTTCAGTTGACCATTTTAATTGACAATCTGTACTTAAAATTTGCCATCTTGTTTGTAGGTGTTACATAGCTTTAAAGCGTAACCATGACAATCAAAAAGACGCTGCAGCTTATCTGGAAAAGGTGTTGAAAATTGAAAAGACTGATAATACTGGTGTCCAGGTTGGTGTGGACAGCCTCTCAGAGGTGAAAGAAGGTGAAGTGGGTGTCGAGCGAGATGAGAAAGAGAAAGAAGTTGGCAAGCTAATGAAAGGTGAGGAAAGGGTTTACGAGATGTGATAGGCCTATGCCACTTTGGGAATTTAGCGAGGGTTAGAGTAGAAATGACCAAACAGCCCCTAGAGCAACTCAAGTCTTTAAGATTGACTTGTTGGACATGTGAACTACGGGTAACTGATTCGCCATCAGCATGAAAAAGGTATCTGCCGTAAATACTAGAATTAGACCCCAGCTTCAGATGAGCGCTTCCTTCATATCTAATGAGTGTACATGCCACAACGACTACGAACTTCAGAATCACCGAGTAATTGGAAGACTTTGTACAGGTTTTCTGCAAAATTTGGGAAGGGAAATGCCTACGTTAGTGCGTAGTAAGTTAGTAAGTTCCTCGTAGAGCCGAAGGATGGCGACAGAGAAATTACACAGGGATAGGAGGGGACTTAGTGACAAGAAAGACGGCGAGAATGAAGGGAAGGCTCTTTCTTTATTTTATTCCTACAGATGACGAAAAGAATGTCGGTCAAAGTAGCGACTTTGACTTTGATGACGTAGACGAGACGTTTTGCCAGAAAATGCGGAATAACACTTTACAGGAAATTCCAGTGAACAGCGAGACAAACATCCCAGGTCCCACGAAAGAAGAAAATATCACGCAGCAGCACGGACAAGAAAACAATATGAATATTATTGACTTGACGAGTGATAATGAAATTGATAATGAAGAAATTTCGCAACTCAAAGAGAGTGACTTTCCCCTGAATTCTTCTCGAAGCCAAACTCTGCAATCACAGATCAAACGTGAAGTGCTTACGCCTGAACCCGAAAAACTAGGTAAGCAGGAAAAACTGAACTGTCCTGCAAAACCCGTTGAAGACACGAATTCGGATTCTGCACCGTCGCTCATCTCTGCTGAAGATCTCTCTAAACTTGCAGCCAAAAATACCACCGTCGCTGATGAACCTCCAGTCTTAACTAAAATGAATCCTGGAATTCGCCGGGTTCCAAACCAGCTAGACGACATGATTTTGCGCTTACAAAAACGCGTTTTGACGGCGCAGCCGTCCTCGTCTGACTCCGGCGTAAATAGCGTAGAAGGACCAACTGTCGTGGACTTTGAACGGTCGGGCTTAGACGTTCTCGATAAACGTTTAACAGAAAAAATCCCCCTTCTAGAAACGTCTTTAGGAATTGGGGCAGAACCTCTATCTGAACCATCTTCTCCAGAAACAGAAAACATGGAGTCCTTTCCTCCTTCACCGTCAAGTTTACGATCAGATGTATCAAAACCCGAATCGCTAGATCGGAAGTCGGAGATTTCTACCGGAAGTTCAAAGAGAAGCACTGGAGTATCAAAGCAACCAGCCAAAAAGCTAAAGAGTAAGTATCCTGAGCAAAATTCTTCTTTGGAAGGGGTAGTAGTTAACTCATGTAGGGATGCTATGTGTGTGTGTTTTGGAAGGAAAAGGCTACGATTAACGTGGTTGTGGCATAATAATCGAGTTAAAATAATTCCTCGAATCAAACGGTTTTCTTGGGCAATTTTCAATGGAGTGTTGAAAGTAATCCGGGATTGCTTTGTTTTTGCTTTACTTCGCTGTGTGATTGGTCCTGAAAACTTGCGCCACTCTCTCTCAAACAGTGTGATGCAAAACGAAAACTAGTCATGATTTGGTCGTCGACGTTTTCCCGCGCCTTAGGCAGTTTGGTTGTTTTCGCTTCGAGTTTTCATTGATTCTTAAAAGTATTTGCCTTTCTTCTGATTGGTGATTAGTTTTGTTTCGATTTTACGACACTCGATCGAAAAGCTTGATAAACTTGTGTTGTGCTTGTTCCTTGGGTAAGGCACTCTACTCTCTCGCATTGCCTCTGCCCAGTGACTCTACCCTACCCAGTATCTCTACCCAGAGCCTCCACTCAGTGCCTCTACCCAGTGCTTACCCTCCTAAGGGTTAAAATAGATAAACTGTCGGTAAAACACAGCGGGACAGTGCGACGGACTAACATTCCTTGCAAGGGCAGCAACAACACTCTTATTCGCCTTATGCTGTAGATACCAGTTCTTCCATTTTTTGTTTCATTTTGTCGTCTGTGTTGTTTTATAGCAAACTATCAAAAGATCCATACTCATCCGAAACCCACCATGAACAGTCCTCCTTCACTAAAAGCTTCGCCCAACACACCCTCGCCCGCACGCCCGTCGCTGTCTCGTCAGTCCTCAGTTAGCAGCAAGAGACTGAGCACTAGAGTGATGTTTGGAGAAGAACATTGCTACGTCATAGACGCCAAGGGTTATGGGAACTGTGGTCGATATTTAAATGTACGTATTATTGCGAGCCTATCGTGAGATCGTCGATTGAATATGACAAGTTTTTGGAAGGATAGATTTAAGGTTCTGCATCGAAAGAGTCAATACTACTCCTGGTAGTTTTCCTTGATAAGTGTCACTGACAAAGTATCTTTGTTAAGTAATGTCTCCTTTGCAACTTCATGTGCTATGAACAACCTGGCAGTTTAAAACCGGCTTTACCGGCTTTAGTTCGTTTGAATAACAGCTGATCTTCAGACTTGTCTAATGATTCATGGTTTGATTTTGTTTTAACAGCATAGTTGTTCGCCAAACTTGTTTGTCCAGAATGTGTTTGTAGACACTCACGATCTTCGTTTCCCGTGGGTGGCATTTTTCACTCAGCAGTAAGTAACCGTGAATTTTAACAGTGTTTAAGGCAGACTGGGAATCATAGTGGACCATTAGTGAGCGCGCTGATATCCTATTCCAGGCGCTCAACTAGTTAATCCTTTGACCCCGAAGAGTTACCAACACCTAATTTCTCCTTACAACATCCCCTGAATTTCACACATAAATGTCTCAAGAATAGAGAAAAATGATCATCAGCTGAAAAAGCTCTTGATTGTTACACAAATTTCCCTTTTCAGCACCGTAGGAAATGTATTAAGAACTGTATAGAGAATATACAGACTAATGTTAGGGTGTAAAGGGTTAAAAAGAGCGCGACAGTTAACGGCGCGCTAGTGGCAGCTGAACGTAAAAACTGAGGAGAAATGGGTTGTGTCGCCGATCTGAATATCGGATCGAGAAAACCGAATTTGAACTCCGGCAAGTTGTGACGTTGTTGAGTGAGACACATTTGCATTAACCCTGGTTACGGTGGCTGTGCTTTAGGAACCTCTGATTTACTGAAACCGCGAACTGTGTTCCATTGCTTTACAGGAACGTTGCAGCCGGAACTGAACTGACCTGGGACTACGCTTACGAAGTAGACAGCGTTAAAGGCAAAGTTTTACATTGCTATTGTGGGTCAGCGGAATGCCGTGGGAGACTTTTGTAAGCTCGCTCTTTCTTGCCCAATGGTAAACTGATTTTGAAATTTGGTGTCGGACACAAACGTAATGAGAAGTCTTACACGAAACCTCCTGAATACGTACTAACGATGTGGCTTGAAAGTCCCAGGAACTAATGGAAAAAAGTCGCGACATCAATTACTGGCATTCCACAGAGGACTTATCAGCTCACCGGAAGATCCAAGTCAGACTTGTAGTGACACTATACCAAAGCGAGGGAGACCAAGAATTTCAGGGCCAAGGGATGAATTTTTCCTCACAATTTGCCGACTAAGGCCAGGGTTCAAAGAGGAATATCTAGAACACCTTTATGGTGTAATCCAGACTTCGGTTAGTCGCATGACAATTTCATGAGTCAGTTTTATGTTTTTGAAATTCAAATACTGGTATGCTATCATGCACGTGTCTTATTACACATTAATGTCTGTCTAGTCATCTTTTTCCTTTTTGATATCATGATTTAAATTGTTATGGTTCGAAATTGTTGAGCCTTCAATCAGGGGCCGTGGTTGGCGGCACATTCATCGTAGTGTTTTGGGAAGAAACGTGTGCGATGAATTCTTTGTAAGTGTTTGTACAATTTCCGTCGCAATTTTAAGCAGAGACTTCACATGCAAATGGTCATAATGCAATTACCGTAACCGGGGCCACCCAGGCAATGTAAAAGCCAATCAGAGGGAAGAACTGAACTGAGAGAACTGAGTCTACCATTTTCACCTCACTTGATCAATTGTCGAATTGACCGCAGAAAAATCGTCGTTTATTTACCGGTGATGTTTACGCGACTACGGAGTCAGTTAAATGTCTTGTTCAAACCGCTGGTGATTTAGAATTTACGTTGGCTTGCGGATTGTGAGAGTTCAAATTGGACGAATTTTTGCTGCTTTTAGCTTTTACTGAGTCGTTGGCGGGTTTTGGATTTTAAAGAAAACAAACACTGGAACTTTAATGGAGACGAAGTGCATGCCGGGATTGAATTGTCGAGAGCCCCTCAAATGGTGTCTTAGTAATGTGGCCAAAGGTTTCAGTAGATGCTCTTCCGAGTGTTTGTTGATGTTCTTCTTTCATTTAAGTTGCCGTTTGGTTACTTTTCCGAACAACTCTTGCTAATGCTATGTCGCACGAAAGTTTCCAAGTTGGGTAGGTTTGTCTGCTAAATTTTGCGCACATATTACAGAGCGAGAGACTTTTAAACAGTTTTCATGACTTTTCTTTGTATGTGAGAAGTGCCACTTTGGATGTATATAAAATCGCCTTTTTTGAATTTGATAAAGAAACACTGATTTTGTTACCGTACTTTGGATGTCGAAGACTTATAGCTGGACATTTATTTGATTATTGTATCAGCAATTAATATGGATGTGATTAATACTAGCCTGTGTTTAACGAAATATTCTGGACATATTTTTGGATTAAATTATGGACACGAAAGTGTTGAATTTATTTACAAGTAGAGATTTCTTTTGATGTGATCCGGTGCATTTTTTTCCTCTATCTGAAGTAACTGCAAACTGTCTCCTCTGCGCTCTTAGGACTGGGCATGAATCCACTATTCCCACTCCCCTTTTCTCCCCTAACCCTACCCCCGGGATAAGGGATCTTCCTTCCCTCCAAAGCGATTTGAGAAGGCGGCATTGAGGCGTACATTGACTGCCACCAGTCTGACCGCAAAGAATTATTCGCGAAAAATTCAAGTCACTCGCCTGTTATACCTTTGAGGTCAGCCCCCAGAATGTTCTTATTTAGAATATATTTGCTGTGCTGTAATTTCCTCTGCAATTCTGATTTAATAAATTGCTTTTTCCCCTAAAATCACCAAGGTAGATGAGTCAATTATTGTGTTAAATTTGTGGTGATATGCTTCTTTCTCTGTTCCTTCGCGGCTGAGGTATTTATAAAGTGCAAGCAATCGGCACCCGGATATTTTCAACTTGTTGGTCATCACTTGTTTGTACCATTCAGATGTTTTATCGATCATTTCAACCTTGGGCAAAAATGAAGCTCTGTTTCTGTTTCGATTTCTTCACATCACGTAGACATTGGATATACTCCCAAAGAGACGAAAGTATTTTTATTTTGTCACTTGATTCTGCGCCAAGCTAAAATAAGACTTGGTAATATGCCAATGAGTGTTACTCTCTGTTGCAAGTATACATTAAAAATATTTGCAATGGCATTGGTTTCACTCGCCAAATGGGCGGGGTATTTAACTCAACCAGCTGGGGGAATTGTCATATGCTATGAAATTTTTCGGAACATGAGCGGGATCAATTACTTTTCGGATTGATATTTCAAACCAAGTTTTTCTAACGAGAACTATTATGTAAACATAGTTGATGACGTATTTCGTTTCTTAATTCTAGAAAAAAAAAAACAAACAAACAAAACGCACACCATGATCAGCTGATAGACAGACGCGACACGGGTAAGCTTTTTCATAAGCGGCTGTCGGTGGTGCAACTGACGGCTGTGACGCAAGGCCGAAACCCAAACTCAAATGTTTTCTCCGGCGCAGGCAGAACAGACAGCGGTGAGAGGTCTTACAGGCGACAGTTGACCACCTTCAATTGTAATCCCTGGATGGGATAAAACATGTAACATACTATCTAAATGTTAAACATTCATTTCTCTTTTCAATCATTCAAGACAAGTTGAGTGTCCCATCAGATGACGATTTTCATACTTGCGCTCAAAATAACTGATCTGAAGCAAATTCTCCTTACTTACGGCAGTTTACTTCTATATCAGTAAGTGCTACGACATTATTTGATCTGCCTGCATCTCGGAGGAGCCTTGATATTCAAAGAAGAATTTCCATATTGATCATTTCGGGAGTCAAAGGTTATTGAACCGAACCGGTCGGAGACTATGGCGCGTCATGTGTAGCAAAATTACCCTTGCGACATGTTATGAGGGAACAAAACCTTCTGCCATGTCCGCTGACGTGTGTGGTCTCCAAATCTCATGTGGCGTAAGCTCGATTACCAGCCGCTGTTCAGGAAATGAGCCTTGGTACTCATGGCTGAAAGCAAAACACTGCTCTTTATTTATTTTTGTTTCTTACTGAGTGCAAGGGACGTCATTGAGTTATCCAATGTGTAGGAGAAACAACAAAGATCCTTTTTCCTTTACACCTCAGTTTCCAAATTTCCGGAAATATTTTGGGTAAAAAAGAATTTGCCTCCTGAAGATTATCGATAAGTCTGTTTAGATCTACGTCAAATAGTCGGACAGGAACCTTGCGGTTTATGTGCAGTTTTCGGTTGAAAATTTGCCATTCTGTTGCCAAGTCTGTCTCAACGCAAATCCCGAAAACCGAAACAACAGTGCACGGGGTCATGAATAGCGACGAACCGAATCGAACCGGCCAAAGCTCCTAAACTGAATTAACCCCGACTGTAACTCGAATCTCATTGTCTTATGCTGGTTGTTGACGAAAACAGCGAATGTCTTTCTTTTTCAACATTCTTAGATAATTTGATTTTGTTTCTGAAATTTTAAAATGTCTTACAGCGATAAATCTAAATAATGGTGCAATTCCGGATTAAATTTATTTTTGCTCCTGCGTTGTTTGCTTCTTGGCAATATTCAATAGAGAAAATTAATTGAAGTCCATGATAACAGCCGAGTCTTACCTTGCTGCTAATTTAAATATTCCAGAATACATGTGTATTGGTTTCCCCGCACAATCGCTAATAGCTATTGGTTAACGCTAGCGACCGAATAAATTTTATTCACTCTAAGACATTACAAAAATTTTAAGCATTTTCAGTGTTTCCTTTTTTGTGGTTAGAAGTTAAATTCGTCGCAAGGAAGAAGGTTTTTCGTGTCTTCGCTCTTTTTGAAAGCTCGATTTTTCTTTAATTTTTCTTTCAGGATTTTAAAAACTGTGTGCGAAATTTCTTACCCAACAGATCTTATCCTGGCAACTATTTGACGTACTCTGTGACGTCACTGACCAAAACTCGGGTATCAGTCTCTGATTGGTCACACAGAGACATCAGTTACGTCATAGTAGCAAACATGGCGCGCGCTTCCCTGTACTAACAATCTTAACACCATGCATTGAGCGCATTGAGGATGTAGTGAATTTTGGTTGTTGCCGCAGATTTTGTACGGATCTGAAGGAAATCTGCTGCTTTTCGATCTACGATTGAGGGGATGCAACTGGAAACTGAAAGTTCCGAAGATTTCTCGGGTCTTTTGCGGTAGCGTATCAAATTTGGCTTTATCGCACTTTCCTGGCCTCGTCGAAATCTTCGTTGTTCGTGGATTATTTACTGTGTTGTCGTGCTGCTCAGTTCATCAGGGGCCTATGAAAAATTTTTTGATCTTAAACTGAACAGCAGAAGAAATCGTTTTCATTCACTTTTCAAGGCAAGCTCGGTGCTTGGTACTCGAACAACAAGAATATTTTCGAACAAAACAATCAATTTCAATTTTGTTGCTTCTCGGAGCTGAAATCTCTCCGCGTATTGAAACCATTTCTGGCCGCGAATTCCTCTGAAGAAGTAAATGATAGACTTGAGGGAAGGATTGTTAACGAGGAAAGTGTTTTAGCATTATTGAGGAATAACAAGAGAACTGAACTCGCAATGGAAGCAAACTATCAAGTATTTATGAAGATTGCTTAAATATTACATATGATAAACTGGTAGACCATTTGTGAAGTTTTACGATTCAAAGGAAGTGAACACTAGTACTCAACGTTTACAAACACAAAGAACTGAAAGCATTGGTGGCAACATCTCATCGAGAAAATATTTTGAAGATAAAAATTTCTTTGAAGTCTTAGAGATCGTTGTTGATTCAGTTGCGAGAGCAACCTTCATCGTTTCTCGTTTTATCACAGTTTGTAGACGATCGAAGACCTATCGTGGCAATATTATCGCATTGTATTGGACTCGAAAAAGACGGTTTCACTTCGCTGGAAGTCCTGTACACTTGCATTGCAACTCAGCCAAATCGTCATGGAATTCTTCTCGTCAAACCCGCTGATTTGGACTACAAATATGGTGTTCTGTTGCTGGATGCGCGCGCTATCAGAAGGAAATCACTGACAGAACCCAGCCGATTTTATTAGGGTAACACTAATATCGCCAGAAAAATTTAACTTACAGTTGCTTGGATAGTTACTTTTCAAAGGATTGTTTTCTGAGCAAGGAATCAAGAAGCTAATAGCACATGGGAAACATTGAAGGCCGAAAGAGTCATTCATTACGAGAAAAGCAGCCGTGGTGAAATCCTCGTGAATTGATTTACTTTCGGATGATCAAGACACATTTCTTGTGGTTTAATGGCTTCTAGGACGAGGCCGTCGCAAAGAAACGATCGAAACCTATTTTAATGTATATTGAGTGCAGAATGGCTCAAGCCGAATTGATAACCCATTCTTCGAGTGCATTTAGTTCTTTCAATAGGCCCAATGGAACAATTTACTCGGGCCTTTGTACAAGTAAAATCCATGTTGATTCAGCCACAAACGTACTGAGAAGTCTTACACGAAACCTCGTGAATACGTACAAACGATGTGGCTTGAAAGTCCCAGAAACTAACGGAAAAAAATCGCGACAGAATTCCAAAACCGCTGGGAACAGTAACAGCGAAGGGGATTATAAAGTGGTTCTTCATGAAGAGCTCAGCTCCGCAACGTCGCGGTACGAGGTTCTCGAATTTCTCGGTCGTGGGACATTCGGACAAGTGGTGAAATGTTGGAAAAAAGGAACGAACGAGCTTTACGCCATAAAAATATTAAAAGATCATCCCTCCTATGCGCGTCAGGGACAAATCGAGATCGGCATTTTAGCGAAACTGAGCGCTGAAAACTCGGAGGCTTTTAATTTTGTTCGTGCGATCGAATGCTTTCAGCACAAGAATCACACATGCTTGGTATTCGAGATGTTGCAACAAAATCTTTACGATTACCTCAAGCAATCGAAGTTTAATCCTTTGCCTTTGAGACACATTCGACCGATAGTTCAGCAAGTGCTCGTGGCTTTGTCAAAGTTAAAATCCCTTGGACTTATTCACGCCGATCTTAAACCCGAAAATATTATGTTGGTTGATCCCGAAAAACAGCCTTTTCGAGTGAAAGTGATTGACTTTGGCTCAGCTACCCAAGTATCCAAAGCAGTTTGCTCATCGTATTTGCAAAGTAGATACTACAGGTAAGTTGTAAACTGATTGGAATTTTTTATTTTACTTACGCGAGAAAGCAGAACTGAGAATTATTTTACTTTTCAGAGATTGCAAAATATTTCACCCTTGAATAACATCAAGAAACTAATTGCTTTTTCGTGCATGTAGTTTTTGCAGATTACCGTGAATACTTTCATTACGCGGTTTCTTTTGATTTAAATTTTTGTAATAAACAAAAGTTTAGACGTGATGTTTTTCTTGTTGATCAGTATTAGACCTTGCATGCATATGAGTCAGATCATATTTGTAGTGACCATAGCAGCTAAAGAAATTCCTACTAAAAAGCACAGAACGAAATTTCAATATTATTCTAAATATTACTAGTTTTTTTAAGGGGGGAGGTGGGTTCCTTCAGTTTCCTGTAACAAAGGCAAAAATTAAGCAATGGTTTTAAGTTTTTAAATCTGTAAAAATGAACTGTGAGGTGCATTTCCCTAGAGATAAGGGAAGATTTGAAGGAAGGTAAGTGAAATTTTTTTTATAAATTTTGCCAAAACAGGTGAAAGTATCACACACATTGTTCACACAAAGATGACACATTTGGTCATTTACCACACTTTGCACCAAAGATAATAACAATAATTTAGAAGCTTCTTTTAGGCATAAATTTTCTAGAAATTCAAACAATGCCTGCAACATCATTTGAATAGGAAAAAGAGACATTAAAAATGTTGTTCTTGAACTTGGAAAAATATTGGTGTTCTCTTACAAGAGAGTCACCCCAAGGATTGAAGCTGGCTACAGATTGCCTAGAGGGCTGAAAGCTTAAGGGCTGTTTAAAAAATTTAAGTTAAGACATCGTATTGCTTACAGAAAAAAATATTTTATTTTAATCAAGGAGGTAAAGATTCTGACCTTTTCCTCTGTAAAATTCTGTTTTGGACTGCTGGCCTCTGCAAAAATCAATTTTTGTTATTTCTTTGAGATTCATTGGGTTGGGGCATTGTGTAGTAAGTTAGACACTTAATATCAATATTTTTAAATGCATTAGCCAAGATAGGAAAAAAAGTTTAACCCAGACTTGAATTAGTATCGTCTAAACATCGACAAGTTGAGAATAGGTGTGGGAAAGATAGCTGTAGATTTTTATCTTGATGTGTTTGTCCATGCAGATTTATCAATGCTTTTATTTTTTGTTAAAAGCAAATTCTCTCTAGGGAAGAGACCATAATTGTGATGGTGTTTGAAACTCATAAAGGGATACCTTAGCAAATGAAGCTGTTTCACAGTTTTATTGTTGAACCAATCAAGACCAAGGTGTAATAGATTAGAAATGGAGTGGGCAATCCAATCAGATGTATATTTGCAACATATTAGTCATGCATAATTTTGACCAAGGTGTTTCTTTCTGCTTACCTACTTTTATGATGTGAGAGAAATCATTTAGTTGACAAAGGTGTGTTGAATAATCAAGCTTGTGAGAAAGGCTTCTTGGATAATTATTATTCAGTTCACTACTGAAGCTGTTAGTAAGAGTCTAATTTTATAATTGGCAGATGTAGATCATGAAATTCTGATTTTCAAACAATGTGGAGTAAAATTTAAACGAAGAGGCTCACAGAGAGATTGAGCTCAACTTTTTGTCAGCTGCTAAAACAGGAGTTTCTTAGCTTCAACACTGCAGATGCTCTCTCTTAGTGTTCTTGGCCAAGTTTTGTGCTATACATGCCAGAGAAATTGATCTGTTTGTTGCCTTTTTTCTTATTCCAAGAAAACATGTTTTTTGTGATCTGTGGTTTGCCATGTTTTTCCACCATCAATCATCCCTTGGTCACCCATTCCCCCATACTTGAACCAAAAAACAACAAAGAAACACATTTAGCTACGGATGCAAAGGAATTTTTCACACTTGATATTTTTACCTCTTTAGGTTACAGAATAGCACGATATTATATCTCTCATGACTTTTAAATGTAACTGATGTTTGTAAGATCTAACCATGGGCTTATTTACTTACAAAGCACAATCTAGTTTCTGATAATGTTCAGATTTAAATCTGTCAGCTTCAAAACTATCTGACACCTGGTACAAATCAAGTGGTAGCTTTACAAACAAATCTTTAAGGGTGATCAATGCAGCTGGTGTATGTTTCTAAAATTATTTGTGATGTACATTGTTGCCTTTTATTCAAGCCAACCACTTTTCATCTACAAATGTTGTTGTTTTTTTTTTTTATTTCTCAAATGTGTTGACGACCAGAAATTTTTTGGAGATGGTTTGATTAATTTCAAGATTAAATTGGTTTTAAAATATAGTGTAAGGCAGAGTTGTTGAATGTTTTCTGATTAGTCTGGCAATGACAGATAAAAGGCGATGTTTGGTACCAGGGGTTACAAATGAGAGAGCTTTTTACAGATCTACGTGATATAAATGTGATCACATCTGTATATTAACCCTTACAATTTATCCTTACAATATCAAGACAATATCAAGCTGACAAGTGATGCGAATAAAGAAAAATATCAATCAGAGGATTAGTAGTTGATCCAACATCAAATTCTCCAAAGTAGCATCATACAAATTGCACAGCAGACATTAAGGAGAATTACTACTGAGATCTTGAGAGTGAAAAGGTCAAACAAGAAGTGAGGATTAATGTAATCCATTCTTTCATCAGAGCACCAGAGGTCATTCTTGGTTTGCCATTTGGGGAAGCCATCGATACCTGGTCACTGGGATGTGTAATAGCTGAGTTGTTTCTTGGTTGGCCACTGTATCCAGGCTCTTCAGAGTATGATCAGGTAAGCTACCATCAGATATAAAATATTGGGGGGGGGGGGGTTGGGGTAGGGAGGGACTTCAACAATGTTATGGGAATTCAGGCTGATAAGAAACTTTTTCTTCCTTAGGAATTGTTGCTTCAAGTTAGTAAATAACCAGGAATATTTTATACAGCAATGCTATCTATCCTAAATGGTAACAGCAAGAGTAAACTAGCCACTTCTGATTGTGATGTTTCCCTTTCCTGCAGACACTGCACAGCAGTTTCTTTACAAGCTCATGCTTTACTTAATTATGATTTTGTTTAACTTTCCAGATCCGCTACATTTCACAGACCCAAGGTTTACCAAGTGATCATCTCTTAACAAATGGCTCCAAAAGTTTAAAGTTTTTCAAGAAAGCTGTGAACACAACAACAGGATTGTTAGAATGGAAGATGAAGGTGAGATGTTTATTAGTGATACAACTGATTTAGCACAGTTGTTCCCAGTGAATTTGTAATTTCTAGGGTAATAATAAATCCTGTTACCAGCTCTTGTTTCTGTGTTTACAATTGCAAGGGGACAAAATGCAAAGAGCACAAATATTTTTGTTCAGGAGTTAATTTAACAAAAATTAAAAATCTACCTTAAACTATTGCTGTTTTAATTTTTTTTAAAATTAATTCCATTATTTGTGATTTTTTTTTGTTTTTAGTTATTTTTTTCCCTCCAGCTTTTACCTTTTCCTTGAACATTTTTTGTTATTACTTGCCATTTCTTTAATTTTCAAAGTTGCAGTGGTCTTCACTTTTTTTGTACCTCCCTTTTCTTTCTTTGTGTGATCTTTGTGTAATATTAACAATCCTGTCCATGGTTCCCTGTTGATGGCAACAAGATTCTTTTGCATAATTTCAGTGAGAGGCATCGACCAGCAAAATTTGCCTTCTTGGTGAAGCAAAATTGCTGCCTATTTCCTCTGAAATTAGCAACCTTAGGATAAAGATCGAACTTGCATAAGCTGCCTACTTTGCAGTTTTTGTTTTAAATCTTATTGGAACTGCTGCAATTAGTACATTGGTGAATTTTAACAGTAATTGTTCTTAACAGACTGCTGGGGAACATGAAAGGGAAACCAAAATCAAGTCACAAGAAGCTAGGAAATACATTTTCAATTGTTTGGATGAAATAGCACAAGTCAACCTAGCCAGCAGTCTGGTGGGGAATGAACGTGTTGCTGAAAAGATTGACAGGTACTGAAGACTGTTCAGTTAATTCAAGACTGCTGAATTAATTTCTAATGTACATAGTCTTTTGATGTATGTAGTATGATCATTACAATTCAAAACCTTTAACTTAAGTAAAAAACCTAGGAGATTTTTTATCCCTTTTTGAAAAATTACTTTAACATTCCAAAATTCTATGCTGGAATTTTCATGACTCTTGCTGGAAAATGCTTCACTTGCAAAAAATTTTGAACAATTTATAGCTTCATTATGGTTATCGATCAGGTACTTTGAGAACTGCATTTAAAAAATGGAAATGGAAGATAAAATCTTAATTTAATTTACATGTAATTGCACAGCATTCCAAGGCCTTGTAGTTCATGGTAATTCTTATCGACTGTTATTTTTTTTATCAAAGCCGTTCATTGTTTCTTTTTTAAAGGTATGAATTTACAGATTTGCTGAAGAGAACTCTGATTATTGATCCAGACAAGAGGATTACTCCAGATGAAGCTCTCAGACATCCATTCATTACACTGGCTCGCTTGGTTGACTTTGCTCACTGCAATACGTAAGTAGAAATATGAATAGTGCATTGTTTGATCAATAAAAGCAGTCTCCTGCTCTGTTTCTGAGATACAGAGAGATCATCATTTAAAATTGGGGGCTTACACTGGTAAGTCTTAATGGCTACTTACCACTGAAGTCAGTATTTTTTTTCTGATAATGGTAACTGTTTTGTGGCTTCAGGTTTAACATGGCTGTGAAGAGCATGCAAGTTTGCAGATTTAACAGAGGAATTGCTGAACAAACTTCATCGCTGCCATCAAGTTCTTTGTTTGGTATTCCACGAGCTTCTACAAGTTCATATGTCCATCTTCCAGTGGTGCGAAGTGAAAGCATGTTAAACCAAGAACACATCAGTGGACTTCCACAGCCCACAGTAGATCAGTTTGCACCACAGGCTGGTGTACCTGTGGCTCCTCTTCAAGCTGTAGTAAGATTGACCAAATTTTGTTTGTAATTTGTGACTGTTTAAACTACACACGTTTTTGTTTCCAGAGCCTGTTATCTATGTCTTCATTAATGACTTTACTCTCAGTATATGCATATATTAAATTATATATATATATATATAAGTTAGAGAATTAAAGAGGAAACATCGATTCTCTGAGAATCGATGTGTCCTCTTTAATTCTCTAACTTATGTGTACTTAGCTCTGGCATGGCTTAGATGATCCCACATGTGTGAGATCACTTGGGGTGGCTATATGGCCTTACCTCCATCCTAGCATCAGCACTGCACTGATGAGGCCCAGAAGGCCGAAACAGTACTGTCTGCAGTTAGTTATATATATCACTTCAAATTTGTCAAAACAGCTAAAAACCCCTTTCTTTTAATTGTTCACTTCAGCAGCCAAACCTTCAGACAACTGCATCAGACTTCATTGGGTCTCACTACATTCCCCAGCATGCTGTCCTCTGTCAGCCAGACAACTCGTCACCTCAGAAACATCTGTTTCCTTCTCAAGCAGCTCCACAGCAGGTACGGTATTTACTAATCCACAGTTTGCAAAGTTTACAGGCCAGACTTGTCCAAATTCTTTCCAATGTTTGAATTTGGTCACAAGTGTTACAGTCTTAGTTCTTACTGTTTTTATCTGATCTTTTTCTAGCCCAGACCAGTTGTTGTATCAATGGCCATTCCTCAAGCAACTCTCACGTTGCCAGCCTCGTCTGGACTTTATGCTAAAGTGAGTTTTACTTAAATTGTACCCAACACATAAAGCAAAACCTTCAGTATAACAAAATGTAACCCTTTCATTCCCAAGAGTGTCATAGACATAATTTCTCATTGCAATATCAATACAATATTTAGCAGCCAACTGATAAGAATGATGAAAAATATTAACGGGGGGGATTATCCTTTGATCCAACACCAAATTCGAGTGAAATTGCTCACTGACCATGTGATCAGATCGTCTGGATGAGAAAAGTCCTAACAGAATGTAGTCGATCAGATTGACGGGAATTTTTGTCTGTTATGCGTTGGAAGTCTGGTTCATGAAAACTGATTCTTTTTTTTTTTCCGTGATTTCATATAAAAATTCGACTGACATACAACTCTTTACTTGCCTCTGATAATGACTTCCTCCCTAGCTTTGGAAATATAACTGTTCTTTTCAGAAGTACTCTCACCTGGACGATCATACTACACGTTCAACTGTTATTCTTGGTAGCAAACCAATTATTTTACATTGGACTATACGTGTATGTGGACAAAATATGTGATTTCTTTCAAAGAGTACACATTGTGTACTTTTGAGTCACACAACTAACTTATATTTTTCAACATCACTTTCAGAGTGTTCCTCTTCAAACGTGGACTCATAAGCGGTTTGGCTCCGATCCCGCATTACAGGTAAAGTCAGTTGGAGATATGAGAAGCATTTAGCCACATTAAAAATCTCGTTGTCGATCCCCATATGTTTCTTGAACGATCTGATAGTGGGAAGAATATACTACTGATCAGCTTCCCAAGAAGGACATATCTATCTTTCCGGCGGGATTGCTCTTGGTATTGTTCGTTTGTTGCTAGCAAGCTTACTCATGGACTTCTTGACAGTTTGCTTTTTGTTTCAAAATAAGTAAAAAGAAAAAAGGAAAGGCGGCAGTTTTGCAACAGAGTTACAAAAATCCTGTATGGAAGAAACTCTTTTAGTGGAAATGACTTAACCTTGCGCAGGACCAGTCTGTAACTCATTTTTCTTCCTTCTTAGCTCCTACCCCATTGGAGTGGTGCTGTAGGTTTGTCAACTGTTCAGCCAATAATTCCTGAGAACCTGCAAGGAATGGACAACCCAAGGTATGATGAAATTTTTTTAAAAGGATATAAGCTCGAATCCTATTTGGTGCTCTTGAACCGCTATTTTTCAAAATGCCAGTGAATGACTGACATTACATCACCTTCTACTTTCCGGGCAATAATGAATGTCCGAATCCAATCACTTAGAATTTTAAAGAAAATCACTTAAATCACGAATTACTTTCGAGCCTCATTTGAGATTTCTTCTAGCATATCTGAAAGTGGTAAGTAGTTTTACTAATTGGTGTTATATTTTAGTCGACCAATGAACCCACCTCCTGTTGGTGCATGGCGGGGCTCTGATGACAATGGTTATATATCAGCTGAACCCAGCCCTGGCATCTATCACTTGGTAAGTACTACATAGTTTGACATCTGTTGAAATGCAACAAACAATAAGGATAATTTTTTTTCCCTTCAATTTGAAGAGATCTGTCAAGAAATGCAGCTTCTTATACGTTTCCATCTTTTCTTGATGCAGAACAGTCTTTCTGAGATTAAAAAAAAGGTTTAAAAAATGAAAAATTCCGGCGATTCATATAAGGGCATGAACTTCAACCCTAACGATTCACTAGATCAATGTCAATATTGGAGCAACCATACACCTACCCCTCCCCCTAGCCCAACAATGGTCAACTGACAACAAGTTTAGGTAAATTTTGGGTAAGGGGAGGGGAGGGGAGGGGTAGGTGTGTAGTTGCTCAGATAATGACGTTGATGCGATTCACTCAGATGTAACATGGACATCACTACTAACAGTTCGCTTGAATCAGTTCCATTTTCGTGTGGGTTTGTTGTCTCTTTGTTTTTCAATGAGTTTTTTCACATGGTCTAACTGTCTGCATCTTTGGTTGGACTACCAAGGGTATATACTTCTCATGCTCCTTAAGCGCTTTTTTCGGAACGAGAGCCCAGTTTTTCATCTTGATATGTTTGGCTTTCATCTTAAATTAGAAAGCAGAAGGTTGGGGGATATAAAGACGGAGTGAGGTGCATTTCGTCCTTACCCACTCCTCCCCCCCTCCCTTTTCCGCTTGAACCCTAACAGCTACTCGGTGAATGTTTGCAAACCTCTGAAGATGACTCGCTTTCCAGAAAGGACACCTACACTGCAAGCTAAACAGTTATTTGATTATACTGTAAGTAAATGCCAATTTTTGTTTCAACAGGATGGTGATGCATTTGAACGTCCTCGTGAGGTTAGTATAAATTGCGAAATAGGTGTTTGATCATGAGGAAATAACTGAGCAACATGATACTGACTGACGACAGATGAGTGAAGTAACTATTAAACTTGTGGATGATTAATAAAACAATGATTTTCCCAGGAAAACTAGAGTTGAAGCTATTGTACAAAGCATAGCTTCAAAAATGATTGCTGGCTTCCAATGAATTTGAACCTGTTCCTCCCAGATACTAATTGGTTGCTGCAACCAACTGAGCTACCAAGCGAACTGTTGAAAGCCTGACCCCAACCCTCCTTAATGGAATTGAAAAGCTGATACATTTGTAATAAATCATTACACCTTGGGTGATGTCAAGTTTCGTAATTTACCCTCAGTGGTAAACTTCATCCAAGCATTTGATTTAATCGAGGTTTATCGGTCATTATCTATTTATCACCTTACAGGAAGCTACATTCAGTAAACAATAAGTAAGTCCTAAAATATTGAATTGCTCATAAGAAAATGTCTGCAAAGGTAGTTGATCAGCAGCTGTTTCCCCCATTAGACATTCTGTATTCATTCTAAACTAATTCTGTTCCGTTTGTGTTTTCCTTTTGTAGCCTCGTCATGTAATCAGTCACGAGTGGTCGCGACCTGCGGGTTCTGTATTGTTTTCTGTAATGCCCGTGATGCAGCAACCAGTCGCGCCGCCACCGGTTTGGAGTGGACCTCACATTCCAGCAGGCTTGTTACCATGGCAGCTGTCATCAAATACGTTTCAAAATGGCCCGAACGCCCACGTACCAATAGGACTGTCCAGCGCACATGTTCCACTAAGACGTACGGTGTCCTCTCCGGGAAGGCGAAGGGTCAGTGAAAGGACATTTCTGTTCGGGGAGTTCAACCAAGTGTCGAGCCCTCTGGGATTTGTTCGCCAGGAAAGCGAGCCCTCTGGTACAGTAGCTAAGCAGACCTCCTCTCCCATTGAAATCCCAGACTCTCCCTCATCTCCGAGCGTAATTACAGTTTCAAGTTCGAGCGATGAAATGGAACCGAATTCCCTGGATACCAACAAGACTGACATTAACTCGCAAGAGATAGAGGATGATGTCGACGATGATGACGTCGAAGACGAGGACCCCGAGCGGTGTGACGTCACGGAGCACGATGATCACTGTGACGGGTTCGGTGATGACGAAGAAGAAGATGACGACGATTGCATTGTGACGTCATCGTTTTCCCTCGGAAGTGCAAGTCCCGGATTGAACGAGTCCATGGATCACGCCCATAGTAATACTGCGTATGCTAGCGGTGTTGCTAATGAGGAAATGGTGTCCTCTACCACCGCGTATGAAAACATTCGAGACATTGAGCATCAAAATGAGCATTTAAGAAACTTCAATGATCATCGCAACGGAAAAGACAGTGCAATGATATACTGCTCTGATACTGAAAGTGCGGACGAGAAGGGAGAAATTACGGAAGCTTCGGGCACTTATGGCTTGATAGCCAACATTGGAAACTCCTTAGATGGACGGTTGCATCATGGGGGATTTCCATCCTTCCTCGGTGGTGATTCAATGCGGGGTGCATCATCATCGCATCTCTTTGAGCCTGGGGCACCTCATCGTAGTCCAACCAAAGTGACTCGTCCCAGCTCCCTTGGTGTCATTCCTCATTACGGTCAACACGTTGGACCTACTTACATCTCGCCAACACGACCCTACCCCCCTTCACAAACTCTACTCCTCCCGGGAAGTGAACCTCGCTGCTGTGCCAACGATTCTTTCCAGGACACGAATTCATTAGTAATCCTACCACCTTCGCATGCGCAATTTGTGTCACAACCGCTGTACACAGGTGTTGCAAGAATCTCTACTGCTGGCCCAGTTTCAGGTCACGTACCATACTCTTATGTTACTTCGGCGGGTGGTGCTGGACCATCGTTTGTGAACGCAGGCCTCCAGCAAAGGCAAGTTCTTTCACGGGGAAGCTGTCCAGCACCAGTGCAGCCTAGCCTTGCTATAACAGGCGTAGGCTACCAAGCACCACCCTCTTTTGTCAATCAAAGGTACCAAACGCCAGTGGTAGGTGCTGTGAAGACTTTTAATGTTGTGCCTAGCGGTGCTTATAACGCTTACGGCAGATATGTTTTAAATTCGAGCCCGACAAAACAACGGGTGTTTTATCCTTGATTTCACACAATCGATGTTTTTGATCAGACCATAAAATTGTAAAGATTACAGTAAAATACACATCGAAGATAAAAAGAAAAAGAATATAATTTTGTAACCGTAGCCAAAGAGCAGTGAAATTTCATTTTTCTGTTCAGGAGTAAGTAAGGAGTAGTGTGGAATATGGGGGACAAAGCAGTACTATATGAATGCAAAAAAATCTCAGCAGCGAGTTTGATTTTTAACTTATTGATGTATGCTATCGAAGGTTATAAATAAGTGTTTTATTTTAAAACCAAGTGTGCTTATTAATTTATGATGTTAAGAGGGGTGACGTTTTTGTCGTAGAATAGTTATAAAATAACTACGGCTACTAGATTCTGAGCTTTTCAATGTATATTAGTATTTTAAATCATGCGATATTAAGCAGGTAAGATATTTATATTATGCGCAAGAGGGTATGTACTTTTAAATCGATATTTCCGCCATATGAGTGTAACTGAAATAACACGGTTAAAATTATTGAATTAATGATGGTAAGCATGGTGAACAACCTAATATTGTGGCTGAATAGAAAACGTGGAACCTTGAATTATGATTAGAGCTCAGACAATTTGAAATACTTTTATTGCTTTTTCAAGATGAGTGATGATTTTGACATATTCAGAATTGGGTGGTCAATTAGCAGCACCATATTCCATGCAGTGGTTTTTAAAGAGAGTCAAACCCAAACTTGGAATATACCTTAAAATATGTTAACTGATTTGATTGCTTACCTTTTAATTCTCCCAAAATGCGACCGCCCTTGGCAAATTCTTTATTTCATCAATGTTCCCAGTGGAGTAAATTTGCCGATACTGTGAGGTGCGATTTGACGTTTCAGTCATTCAAAAATGGGCGATCGAAGCCCAGAAGAAGTGTTGCCTCAGCGAAGTTTGAGTGTCAACTTGATCTGAGAGAAGGAGAAAGTTTAATTTTTCAATTTCAAGCTTTGATTCGTATAGTGTTTCCAATTGGTATTGTTCAAAGATACATTCTTTGACTTTTCTAGTGTTGAGAAGTGATGGCACAGTTTGAGAATAACATCTTAATTATGCGAATCAAATTATAAATATAACATAATTTTGAGTTGTTAGAGCAGTGTTGGAGCAAGTACTTTGTTCTTCATAAGAATTGCATGTAATTTCAAGAATATTATTTGTCTTGTTTTTATTGAGGTAACTCAGTCGATAAATGTACTCACGTTTTCCGATGTGTGGGGTGTAATTATCAAAAAGCCATTACAATTCGCGTTGGTTGGTAGTGTTGCTAGAGTCAGAATATTATAGTATTAATACCATCAAAACAATTAGTTCACTGTTTCCCATTGCCTTAAACAGAACAGCTTCTCGTCAGTAGATATTTTTTCAAAGAAATTCCTTCATATTTTAAGACAGTAATTATTATAAACGATACAAAAAGCATCGTATATTCGATCCTTGTCAAAGCTCAGCGTTTTTTGCAGAAATTTAACCTTATACAAACAATCTTGCCACGAGTTTTTATGAAGTAATGTTTCTAACTTTGGGAAGTTGACTCTAATGGGATGGGTATTGATATTAAAAGATTATCTTAATGTTATTTATAAGCAATACCTTGATTATCTACGCAGATTCAACCTGAAGGCTCGGTCACAAGGGACCTTTGATTTAGTCTTTTCAATCAGATATTGCCTTTTATAAATTTTTTCTTCCTTTAGGAAGTCTTATCCGTGACAGAGCTCTTGAAGTGACAATTTGTGTGTAGCAAGTGTAAAAAGTATATTTTATTCAATACTGGTGATAAATCACGAGGAGTCTTGGTACGACTGTTTTATTAATGGTGTTCTTTGTAAATACAGAGCATTGATTGATTTGGAGGCCGTTGATGAAGGCCGAAAATGTTCAATAAACTTATTTTTTATTGGTGGGAAACTTGTGTAGCGTACTTTGTTTTCTTTTCATTTTTGCTTTTCCTTCCCTTTGATTATCTTTCAGTTTCTTTGTGGTACTGCAAACCGACGTGCTAATGAAGCATAAACATTGCATAATATATAGAGTTAGCCAAGCTTGTGAATGTCTTTGCAAAATGGGAGCTCCTTGGTAATTTACCTTAGGTCAATTCTCTCGCCATTCATCTCAGCCTAGCAGCGAGCAAGAAAGAGAAGGAAAGCTGGCAATCAATAAGTTCTATGAGAGGTAATGGATGAATTCGAGATAAGAATTCAATTTACTGTTAGACTTCTTCCCATCCCAGTTACGTTACGAAGTACCCACAGCAGGTCCCCAGTCCTTTGCTCGGACTTACTTGACGGCGCAAGAACTGATTCTTTCAACAACAAAAAAATTAACCAGTGTGTTTAGCTAATTTGCGTCAACCGCCGATTAAGTTTAATATGTAATGAGGGCAAGCCACGCCGATTTGCTAGCTCACTGACAGAATGTATCCAAGTGATTGATCTTCCTTTCAAACTGAATGACGCTAGCGTGATGTTTGTTTACACAAAGCCAGCTGTAATTTTGCCAGCCGAGGTACAGACAGTCTATTTTGATCACGATTTTGAATTGCATTTTTGTTCTGAGCTGGTTTCGCCTTTATCTGACGTCGGCGAATCACAATTAATTCTTCAATTTACACTTGTGTATAGCTGCTAAGTTTAACCATAGACAGGCGATTGAACAGCGAGCTATTGTGCTGTGGTGTTGAAACTGGTTTCCTTTTGCCTTTTTCATGTCCGAACATTGTATCATCGTTTATTTCGATGTGAAAGCTTTGGTAGCTGCGGCTGGTAATAGGTAAGTACTCTTGTCCGCTTTATCCCTTACAACCTTACTTTCCTTTTCTAGATCTTTTCAATTCAGATTTATGTAATTTATAATAATTAACCGCTCGCAGCTTTACTCAGGTTAAAATAGACTATGGACTGGAGCTCAAATGGTCGATCGATCGATCGCTAGTCCAAACTTAAGAGTAACCTGAAGAGAAATCCATTTAGAACTGTGTAGTGTACTTTTGAATATTTTAGGCCATATTTCAAGACATATTTTACGTTTTATGGTGAAACTCAACAAAAGAATACGTCTGTAAAATCTTCTATGTTTGTATTTGACACATTGATTGCCGTAGCAACACCTCCTTTGCTTGTCTCGCATATGATTCTTTTCAATCAAGCCCCATCTGTGACACATCTCAGTTGGAGATGCACTCTAACTTTTCAAAGTCGGAAACTGCGATAGATTCAAAACAATATTAGAATCTGCCGCATAAGTTTCAGCTTTTCGAGTTTTCTTGATCTAAACTGTACTTTTTTATCTCAAAAATACGGGTGCTTTGTACAGAAAAAAATTACGATTAAGCTCGAGAACTATTTCCAGACGTTGAGACTACAGTTCAAAATATATTTCTTGTTTCTTATGACGATGATCTATCGCAATTTGTCAGAAAATTAATCAACTTTCCTGATCTAACAGGGAAAATTTATGGCCTTTCTCTGATTGTGATGAGCCTGCGATGTAGTACGGCGTTGCTAGGTGACGGGTGTAGATTTCGTGCGTTGATGCGAGGTTGACAAGTGTTTCTTAAGAGTTTGCGAAGTAACCGACGAATCGCCTTTAATTTGCTAATCGATTCTCTTACATTAATTAAATAGTGGGTTTTAATTCCTGCATATTCCTGTATATTCGGCATTGTTTTTGCTGGAATATGTGACCTTTTTTCGAATTTTAAAAACAGAGGCCAGAAAGATTGAAATCCAAATTTTTAGTGTATTGATGTCTCCGGTTTCATTACTTGAACATAGCTGTCCTGATAATTCTTCTACTAAGGATTCTGTCTGATTATCCCTCATCCTCTTGATGAGTGCTGTTTCTTTTTCACATTTCACAATCTCAAAACCATGTGCGAAACTTTCCAGAAACAACTAATTATTGACATACTGATTGAAACTGCTATTGATTGGCTGACTGATTGACTAACTTATTCATAAATTCACAAACTCACTGACTGTCTGACGGTCGTTCTATAACTCAAACCAGTCTTTTTTTTCCAAAAAGAAGTTTTCCTCAAGGGAAGCATAGTCCTGCCATAATGTCAGAATGACCTGACTATCTGCCGGCTTTCTATGACTTGTTTCTGTGTTTTTTGGTCAGGATGATGTTTTCTTGAAGAGCTGCCTACTCCTATGGTATTGTCAGCATGTGTTTCGTCGATGAAATAATCCTCACCTTGTTGATGATAGTAATGAATTTACACCAACATGGTGAGTAAGATAAAAGATCGTTGTTTAAAAAAATTGCAAATAAAGAAGTTCTTCATGCGTTGTAAAAAATATCCTATTTACAAATATGCCTTTTGGGAAGCAAAATGAAAAAGGGGAAATTGCATGTAATGCAATTTGATGCAAACTCAAAAGCTCTGTTTTTGATTTTATCATGCCGAGCTCTCCTTCGATAAAAAAAAGTCATTTCCAATTGTTTCAATAAAATTTATCATTTATTAACTGATTTCAAGATACAGACGTCATGTTCCCTCACAGGTGCTGTGCTAAATCTTCCTTTTGAAATCAGAACTGCTCAACAATTTCGTACAATAAGGATTAAATGTGAAGTAAAAGGTGAGCGTTTTATCGCCTGGGAAACACCTTCCAGGGAAGCAAGTTTTGGGCTTCCCGCTATTGAAAGCATTAACATCACATTGAATCAGGCGTCTGGTAGATTACGGGTACAAAAAAACGATCATTACTACGTTCTGGTGATAGAAGACGTCAAAGTTGATGATGGAGGTAATTACACATGCCGGGGATCTGAGGAATCAAAGAGCTTCACTCTGGAGGTCGATTGTAAGTGTTAAGAAATAAGACTTAAAATATAACCTGTTCAGGCGTTCGGTTAGTACAATGACGAGCGATTGCACGAGCACGATACTTGCGAGTGAGTGAAAAGGCGAAGGTGGCTTGGGTCGGGCTGGGCCGGGTACCCGACCCAAACCTCCCCCGCTTTTTCCCCCCTCCGCTACTATACTACCGCCGTTTACTATCGCGCTTTGTGTCACTGACTGGACGCCTGGACCGACTACTTTAAATACGTTTAATTCAACTTAATGTCGCATCTGATTCAGAGACTTAAGATAAAGTGCTTGGAACCTTTTCGTTTTGGGGTAAACAGTAATTCGACCTCATGCACTTCATTAGGGTTCATATCTCGGGGGCGTAAACCGGTTTTTTTTTTAAGACACAAAATAATGTTAGAAGTGGTGCTTTAAACCTGTTCATTTTCCACACAAGTCATTGTCTATACAAGCCGCAGCTTTTGTTATACGAGGGGTTTTGGTGAGTCTTTAGTCAGCTGTGACCTCTGTTAGATGTGAAATCAATCATACAAATGCATCGCATCTTACCGCGGCTCACGTTACACACAATCACACCGCGCAAGCCCACATTTCACTTTTCTTGCGCTTGCTCATGAAGGCTCTGAAGGTAAATGGTTAACTGATGTATGCTTTATAACTCCAGGCAATTTAGGAAGAAAAAAACAATTCTTACGATTTAGCAGAGGTGATAAATGAAAGCAGTGAACTTATGTGAGTCATTTACGTGAAAATTTTTTGCGTCATGTTTGAGAAGCGCTGGTATCACTAATGGCCCAGTTCACGGCTTGTCAACGTCACTCCATAATTTTCCTCTTTAAAGGTCCCTAACCTCACCTTTTCACCAGTTTTTAGCCATGGCGTCAAGACACCTCAACGACTGAACTACGGCCAAAATGGTACTATACAACTAGAACTATCCGCTTACCCACCACTCAAATATCATTGGACAAAAGATCGCGAGGAGTTGACTCTTCCCACGGACGGGAAGGTCATGGATCCATATAGTGGCTCAATAAGAATCACCAGGGTAGGGAGGGACGACGCTGGAATGTATACATGTAGAGCGGTTTGGAAGGAGGGAAGACCTATGGAGACTGAAGACTCTGTTGAAATTGAAGTCTTTGTTGTGGGTGAGTTTTTTAAACAAAGAATCCTTTGCTTTTGTTCTCTGATTAACCCAACTAATATCTTTTAATAGCCCACACGTTTGAGATACTTCTTGGATCTTAGCCAGTTATTATATCAAGACAGTCCCTCTTTAAGGACACGTCCATACTTAATTTGTAAAAGCATTTTTTCTAAAACATAAAACAGATGAAAAGTTTGCGTATTGACACCAATCATTTGCATTTATATTAAAATGGAAACGTCGCCACGATCCTGGATGATCCATGAAGAGAATGACGTGCACAAAAAGTATAGCACCCGCCTACTTTATTGACACGTGGTTCATGACACTGCAAAGTTGTTAGCCAGAAATAAACGAAATTGAAATTGTAATTTTCTTTCTTATCATAGCAACCTGTCTTGTAAACCAGTGACAGTTTAGTAGGCCTTGTTGACACGAAAATTTTTGCTTAAAAATTTTAAATTGAAGTGCAAGTATGAAAATTATCACAAAAACAAATCTCTCTGATAGCATGCAAATTTTTAAAATAGAACCTAACCTTAACCCATTAGCTTTTACATTCAAAATACGCGGATGTGTCCAGTTCATGACAACAAAAGCAGCGCAGGGAAGTTTCTCGCTACTTTACTTTCTTTAAGTGCTCACTGGTCCTCGTTTGGGGGATTAAAATGCATTGACGTATCGCACTTGCAGCTTTGAGCGTTTTGTGTCCGCAAGCTGTGAGCGTCCTAGACTAATAAAAAGCCTGTGCAGGTTACAGCTTGAGTTTCTTAGAGCGTTGGCCAACATTTTTACTCCAGTGTCTGTTATAGGATTGTTGGCCAGGGACAAAATCTTCAAGTTTATTTGATCAGTAGGCAGTGCCTGCAGCAGACTCTTGACACCTTTGTCGGTGATGAGGTTGTAGCCAAGGTAGAGCTCTTGGAGCCTGCAAGACTT